AAAAAAAAAAGAAGACTGGGGGCAAAGTGTGAGGACATGCAGGCCAGGTCTAATCCCCAAAATTCCTTTTAGCAGAGTACTTAAAACCCCCAACCTTTTTGTCTTATACATACACGTGTCCAGGTTCACGAGAGTCTGATCTTCCTCCTCCTCCTTTGCCTCTTCCTCAGGAGGTGGTGGTGACTTGGAACTATACAGAGAAAAGTAAGTCCATGTAGCCACAGCTCTCACCAAGGACTGTCTGGAGCACAGTATGTCCACTTTAAAGTGCCAGTAAATACCAAATCCCAGCGGACAGCTTCTTTCAACAAAGCAGAGTGTAACCCACCCTTCCCTCCGGACACTGATCAGCATGTGATACAGCAGAATCTGGGGTGCTGCTCCCGAAGGGCAGGAACAGGTCCTCACCGGCTGTGGTGCGCCTCCTCTCGAAACTCGTAGTAGGCGCGGCCATGCTCATCTTTCTCATCCCGCTGTCTCTTCACCCCTCGCCGCTCACCATCCGAGCCTGCTGGCTTGGACTTCTCACTGTCTTGGTCATCCCCTACAAACCAGGGAAAGACAATCGCAGTTCTTCTGCTGAGCATGGAATAAGCTCAGAACCAACAGAAACTAAACGCGTGAGCCGGGGATGTAGCTCAGTGGCATAAGCGCCTTCCTGGCAAGCGCAGGGTCCAGAGTTCGATTCCCAGTACCAAGAAAACAAACAAACAAACAACCCAAAACAACAACAAGAAGAAACTAGGGGCTGGGGATTTAGCTCAGCAGCACAGTGCCTGCCTGGCAAGCGCGAGGTCAAGAGTTTGATTCCCAGTACCAGAAAAAAAAAAAAAAAAACAAGAAACTAAATGCAAATCTGAGTATGCCCAATCGTAAATCAGGTTATTCCCATTGTACTCTTAGCATACTTAATTTCCAAAGATTATTTTCCTGTCACTGGCTAGGCTTTGGGGGTGCATTATGGGGTAATATACAGTCCAACAGTTGATAAAAACTGGACAATTTAGCTGGGTGTGGTGGTACACTCTGCAATCCCAGCACTGGGGATGTTGGAGCAGGAGGACTGTCATGAGTTCCAGGCCAGACTGGGTTACACAGTGACTTCAAGGCAAGCCTGCACTACATTAGCAAGACCCTGCCTCAAAAAAATTTTCTTATTCTAAGTCAACCTACTTCATCAGGTCAAACTTGCAGATTTCCCCATTAATATAATACAAATGAGCTGGGT